TATTGTGCACGTAGTTGATAAATATTATGTAGTCCTACCTAGTAGCGCTCTCAATTCTGCCTTCTTCTCCTCATCCCACATAATAGGCTATATATAGGAGCATCAAAGCTATAGTGTCCGTAACTAAAGAAACCTCCCTGACGCTGTTTTGATCGACTAGATCTACATCTTGGCTAGATTAGCATGTTAGCATGCCCCAACCCCGACGTCAAGTAGATATGGCGTGAACTAAAAATATAAATCCAAAATTCCTACCGGAGTAAAAATGGGAGAGAACGAAGCCACTCTGAGCGTGGTCTCGTTCCGACTTTCAACTGCTCTTGGCCGGGAAATCTTGATCTAGTCCGAGAAATGCTCGGATCCACTCGGATTGAGCCTTTAGTTACACTTTCAGCTTGCGAAACAAATCGCTACCCTAGAATTTTAGTTTCATCTGCTCAGTACCAAGATTTGAGAAATTTGACGTCAAAACATATTGAGTTTCACAAAGTGTCAAGTTTTTCCAAACGTAATTCTTTGAATATCTTGATAACAACTCCAAACATTCTTTCGATTTTAATGGAGCAGATAGAAAATTTGGTGTCTGACCTCATGGTACTAGTAACTCAAAACGGCCAAAAAACATCAGATGGAACTTTGTTATTCTGAGGTAGCAAAATGCAGAATAATTAATATTATCATGACATTTTTTGGTCTCAAATCACTGTCCCCTACCCGGCTGGAAATCGGCCAGTATGTCCGTATGTCACCGCTACCAGGCACAAAAAGATAGCTACCGGCAACCATTGCAGAGCACCCGGACCCATCTCTCAAGATTTACGTCGTTAACCGACAAAGATCGTAAAGCAGAAACAGCCATCATCTAAAAGCAGTTCCGGGGGTTCTCGTGGTCTGGAGGTTAAGGTGTTCGCCTCTCATGCAATAGGTCGTAGGTTCGAATCACGACGTAATATTTTTTTAAATCTAAAATTGTCTCCTTTCACATTCTTTCCTTCTCTCTAACAATGTTCTGTGGTCTGCTTTCGTCTTCACTTTCTGCCCCCACCCCTTCACCTCCTTTGCCCCCTCCTATGGGCTCCTGACTCTTTCTGCAGCCTTTCTATTGCTACTCCTTGGCTCCTTCCTACTTTTGTCTTTCAGCCCCACCCCTGATCTTATGGTAAGGAATATCTACACCTAGCCTTCTCGGACAAGGGCTAAAAATCTCGGAGGTCCCGTGTGCAAGTTGCACACGTTGAAGATCCCTAATTGGTCGTCCCAAATCGATAAGAGTAGGCTTCGGCCGCCACCAGGGCAAAATTTAAAAAATTCCTACCAGCAGAAAATGTTTTATGTTGTGCGTGCTCATATGACCTTATGCAGTTGCGAGCGCAGCAAAGCACTTCC